TAACTTTTGAGACAAGGTCTTGCCATGTAAACCCTTGAACTCACTTTGTAGCCCAGGCTGGCCTCAAACTCGCAGCGATCCTCCTGCCTCAGCCTCCAGAGCGCTGGGATTACAGATGTTCACCATCACGCCCCACTCGGTTTTCACAGTCCTGTAGAATAACCTTTTTCCGTGTTGGGCGGTGATTTCAGGCCCCGCTCAGTCTCCTGGCCAGTCCTTCTGCTGACCGTCACCTCCTCCCTGGGCCCGAGGTGCAGGGAGTTGGGGCGCCCGCTCCCTCTCTTTGAAGGTGACACTTCGCGGTGGCTTCACAAACGCACATTGCACGCCGCTCTCGGGCACAGTGAGCTTGCTGAGAGGGACTCTCTTCCTTCCCAGGCCAGTTGCCTGCTTTTCCCGGGGGAGCTGCACGCCTGGTAAACAGCAGAGGCAGCGCCCTGCAGAAGGAAGCGGGGTGAAGTTTGGGGGTGCCTGGTGGGTGCCGTCTGGGACACCCGCCTTTCTCTGCACCAGGACAGCAGTAGGCACAGGCTGGGGAGCTGGGGGCAGCACCCATGTCCCGGCCCCGGCCCTAACCCTTCACTGCCGTCCCCTCCGTGGCTATTTCCAGGCATTCTCCACGTTCTGATTTCTCAGAAGCCTCACTGGGCCTCTCGGGGAGCCGGGGCTGATTATCGAGGGTTCGCAGCTGGGGCTCCAGTGGTGGTGGCGGGGCTCAGGGCAGCGGCTAATGAGCAGGCGACACCCGGTCTCCTGACAGCGCACACCCAGGGGTCACCGCACCTGGCTCCACAGGACAGGCGCCAGCTGGGGGGCTTCACCCCCAGGTGACTCGGTTTCCATCCAGCTGCAGGGTCCTGGCAGGGTGCCCAGCAGTCTCTCTCTCCTCACGTGTAAAATGAGCAAAACAACAGCACCCCCAGGAAGTGAGACAGTCGGTGTGATAGAAAACCTGGTGAACGTTCAAGAGCCCCGTTGCAGCGAACCCCCTCAAACTCCTCTCCCCGGCGTCCACAGGGCCCATCCCATGTCCTGGCCATGTCCTGCAGCAGCTCCAGAGCCCTCCTTCCTGAGGGTCTCAGTGTGCTGGTGTGGCTGACTCGATGTCCTGGGGATCGAACTCGGGTACTTGCGCTTGCGCAGCAGGCAGCGAAACCACTGAGCTAAATCCCTGCCCTCGATGTCCTGATTTGATCCAAATGTTTCCCCTTCTTGCTCACTGTGACTTTGAGGAAGAGGCAGGAACTGTACTGAGGCAGACCTGGTGGCTGAGGGTGAAGTAGACAAGGACACAGCATCGTGTGTTTACAAGCTGCCATTCCTTTGGGTTGGATGGCACTGGGCAGCAGCATTCACTGTGTTTCTGATCACATCTCATAAAGACACTCACGAAAGGACTTCCAGAAGTGCTGCGGAAGGTGGCAAGAATGGTGGGATGAGCTGGCCATGGTGGTGCACACCTGTAATCCCAGTACAAGGGAGGCTGAGGCAGGAGGATCACAGAGAGTTCAAGGCCAGCCCAGGCTACCTAGTAAGACTCTGTCTCGAAAAAACAAAACAAAATAGAAGGCAAAACACAACACCTGGCAAAGTATAAGGGTTCTATAAGTGCAATTTCTCCCCTACCCCAGTCTATCTTCCCCCAAGCCATGACCCAGAAGTCCCGAAGAAGCTTGGAGCAGGCTCTTGCTCTGTTCATCAGCGACTCCTGCCCTTCCCTCCCTGGCCGTGTCACTGGCTGCCAGTGCCCAGCTTTCCCCTTTTCAAAGAGCTTCCTACAGCCGCAGCCTGCAGATCCCCACAGCCTTGGAAGACACCAGAGGCTGTGAACTGGACAACACTGGGATGCCTTCTCCCTCCAGAAAGAACCTCTACGTCCAGAAACACAATAGCAAATGCTGGCCAGGCTGCAGCGAAAGAGGGACTACGCTGCACTGTTGAATAGAAACTGGGGCAACCGTACGGAAATCAATGTGGAGATCCCTCAAGAAACTAAAGGTAGAAGTCCCATTGGACCCAGCTATTTATTCCCCTTCTAGGTATCTTTCTGAAAGAGTTAAGGACATCATTTACAGAGCCTCATGCACAACTGTGTTTATAGCAGCACAATTCACAATATCTAAATCTTGGAATCAGCCCAGATTGTTTGTCCATCAACAGATGAGTGGATAAAGAAAATGCAGTATTAAAAAGAAAGAAAGAAAGAAAATGCAGTATTAACACACAATGGAGTACTACTCGGTCATAAAGAAGGATAAACTTGAGGCATTTGTAGAAAAATGGATCCACCTTGAGACTATAATGTTAAGTGAAATAAATCAGACGCACAGGTTTAAATACCACATGGTAAGCTGCCCCTTCCCGAGGTCATGATGGGCAGCAAGGTGGCATCTGCTAGCAGGGTCGTCCAGGTAGTCAAGCCACATACACCATTAATAAGGTTCCCTGACAGAAGAGACAATCCTAAACCCAGTGTATCAGAAGCTTTGAGATCAGCAGGGATCCCATCTCACTCTGCTGTAATTTCACACCATTCTCAGGGAAGTAAATCACCGGAGTTGCTGATGCATCCGGGTCCACCAGACACTGCAGAAATACTAAAAATGCTACCTCAGAAGTACAGAAGGAAACTTACATCTCAAGAGGAAATGGAGTTTATCCAACGTGGAGGTCCAGAATAATGATTGTGGCTGCTGTTTGTCATCCGACAAAAGAATTATCTTTACAATAAAGGACTTCCAAAATGACATATGAAAAGTTGTATATTAAACAACCTTAATAAATTTTCTCCAAAAAGAAAAAAAGAAACATAGAAAATTTAGATGGATACTTGTATCTTCTAATTTATGTATCTTGGTGAGCTTCTCCACAGGTTTACCTAATTGTTTATATACTTTATACTTATTAAAGTATACAGTTGAAAATAAATAAATAAATAAATACCTCACAGTTTCTCTCAGATGAGAAACCAAAGTATAAGCAAATTGAAGAGCAAAAGAAAAGGTAGATAATGGGAAACAGGGAGAGAGATCTTTCATAAATGGGAAGGGGCCCAAGATACAGAGGGGAGAAGGGAAGGAGGGGAAAGAGCACAGACACAGGCCTACTGCACACAGTGAATGCAATCATTATGCACTACAAATATCACTTATGAAAGTATAAATATTTAACAACAAAGGTAAGCAGTACCGGAAGTCCTTGCTCCCTCTAGCGCAGGGGAGTGAACACCCGAGCAGAGCCCTGTCAGGATGAGCCGGGCCCTTCCCTCTGATCCCGCTGTGGCCCTGGGAATCTCGCTCAAAACACGGCTTCATTCTTGCCTGGACACGAGGGCTGCAGACTGAGCGAACTCCTGGGAGCTCAGGGTCACCCTGGGGACTACAGCAACGGCCAGCAAAGGAGCTGGCAGCCCAGGGACCACCCTCTCGGCTCACTCAGCCCCCCACACTTTAGGATCTAACTTTGGAAAGCCAAGCGTGGTGGTGCACACCTGCCATCCCAGCACTCTGGGAGGCTGAGGCAGGAGAATCACAGTTCAAGCCCAGCCTGGGCCACTTAGCCACTTGGCAAGAACCTGCCTAAAAAGAGAGCGAAAAGGCTGAGATGTGGCTTGGTGTGAAGGCCTTGGGCTCAATCCCTGGCACGGAAAAAAAATGAAACAAACGACCTCAGTCTTGGGCTACGGCCTTAGCTCAAGGGCAGATCATGCGCCCAGGTTCAAACCTCAGCCCTAGAGGAAGACAGAGGCCTGTGGCTGGGAAAGCACTCAGAGGAAAGGGCAAATTCCAGCCCCAGAGCAGCTTGGGAGGACTCTGGGCAGGGCGGGAGGATCCAGAGGCCAAAGGCTGCAGCTCTGCCCAGAGTCCAGGGGTCATGTGGTTTCCTGCTACCTGGACAGGTGGGGTACGCCTGCACTTCCCCATTTACAACAGGAAGCCCAGATTAGATAAGGCTCCTGCCTTTCTGATAACCCCAGAGGGATTTGCTCGAGGACAACAGTGACACATGGGTCATTTTGTTGTTTTATTTTGTTTCTTCTTTTTGATACCGGGAATTGAACTCAGGACCTTGTGCTTGCCAGGCAGGCAGCATGCCACTGAGCTACATCCCTGGCCCTTGTTTCTTATTTTCTAAGACAAGGTCTATTTACATAGTCCAAGCTGGCCTAGAACTCACTGCAAGTGCTCACCACAGGCTAAGGGTTCAGACCAAACACATTGCTTTTCAAGACAAGGACTCACTATGTAGTCCAGGCTGGCCTTGAACTCATGTACTCCAGTGATCCTCCAGCCTTAGCTACCCCAGTACCTGGGACTGCACATGCACGCTACACCTACCCCGCTGCCACCTTGAGTTGTTATTTTCCTCTGCCTCTCTCTTCCTGTCACCCTGTGAGTCCCTGAGCTTTGTCCTGGGGCTCTCGGCTTCTCTGCACCTGCTTCCGTCTGAGGCCTCCACTACACTGCTGCATCCCTGTGTTTCCCTACACATGTTTTCTTCTCTAGGTTTTTCTTTTCATTTCCCTTTCTCATACCTGTCTCTGTTTTCTCCTTCAGAATGTTCTTACTTTTCTGTGTTTATCCAGCTCTCTGACCACACTGTCCTTTGTCTGTTTATGCCCCAGACACTGGGTCCTGGGTCACGGCCCCGGGGTCTAGCCCGGAACCAGGCCCTGCGTCAGTAGCAAGTGACTGGATGGATGAGTGGCTGGAGGGATGGATAGGTGGGTGGATGGATGAGTAGATGCAAGGATGTATGGGTGGATGAATGGATGGATGGAAGGAAGGAAGGCTGGATGGATAAATGGACGGATGGATGGTGGGTGATTGGATGATGGAGAGACAGCAATGGATGGAAGGAAGGATGGATAGATGGATGGATGGATGGGTAGGTAGATGGATGATGGGTACATGGATGGATGGATTGGTGGTGGATGGTTGGATGAAGGGGGGAGGAATGGATGGAAGGATGGATGGGTAAATGGATGGGTGGAAGGATGGATGGATGAATGGATAGGTGAGTGGGTGGATGGATGGTTAGATGAAAGGAGAGATAGGTAGATGGATGATGGGTGGATGGATAGATGGATAGAAGGATCACAGGCTCTGAAACCACCTCCAGTCTAGAGCAGTAAGGTAGTCCCCAAAGGAACTTGTCACCCAAGCTCTTTGTGGACTGCAATCTTTCTTTTTCGTGGCATTAAGCAAGAATCTATATTTGGCCTCCTGGAAGCCCCAGCATTTGAAGGAAGGAATCTGATTTCCTGGCAAATGTGACCCAAAGGACCATCCTCCCCTACCTCTCACCATTACACACACGCACACATATGCACGCACACACACACACACACACACACACACACACTCGGCCAGCCGGGCTATCAGAGTCAGCTCCTGTTTCCTGCTCTTGAAAGCATCCTGGACAGATGAAACCGCGGGGTCAAAGGGATTGCCTCCCTCTGTGACCGGAACCCTCTGCTGTCCCCCACACGTGAGGGGCACAGGCAGTGGCAGCCTCACTTCCCAGGTGAATTTCAGCTTCTCGAGGGCCATTCACTCATTCTTCAGATACTTCATTCTCTGCCCGAGGCCTGGCTCGGGAGACACAGCTCTGGGGACACAGTGGTGAGTCAGACGCAGTCCCTGACCTAGGCACCTGGCAGCCGGGACCTGAGTGCTGAGAGGACCGAGCACGTTCCCGCTCGCCCCCTGCCTGTGGGTGTCCCTGCCCCCATCCTGCAAAGAGGACAGCGAGGCTAATGGGGGAACCAGTCTCGAGGCTGTGACCGTCAGTGCTGGGGACCTGGGAGCACATCCGTCGCCAACTGGCCTTCCGGTCTGCTCTCTGCTGCGATGCGTTGCTAGCGACACTGGCCAGGCCGGGCCGGTGGCTTCTGCTGCCCAGGTGTGCCAACAGCTTCCCGCACCCTGCGCACTGGAGTGGAGGTGAGTCCGCTCCTGAGCCTCGTGTGGCTTCGCCTAAAGGATGAACAGAATCAGCCTTGACTCTCTCATTTCCAGAAAAGATCGGAGACCCCAGATTTGTTTTGTTTCATTTTGTTTGGCATTTTCTCCAAAGCCTTGAAAGGAGCCAGAAGGGATGTGGATGGGTCAGGATAGAAACCAAACAGAGGGGCTGGGGCAGTGGTAGAGCCGTTGTTTACTGTGGACAAGGCCCTGGGTTCGATCCCCAGTGTGGAAAGCATAAATAATAACAAAATCTCATGGAGAGAGATTACTGAGGAATTATCCTGGGCCTTTGCCTAGGTCCTGGGTCCTTGCAATAGAAAATATGATTTTCTCGGGCCAGGGATGTAGCTCAGTGGCACCGTGCCTGCCTTGCAAGTGCAAGGTCCTGAATTTGATCCTCAGTACTGAGAAAAAAGTTATGACTTTCTCCATGGGCTTTTGTCTATTTTTATTTTGTTTTTATGAGTCAGGGTCTCCCTATGTCATTCAGGCTGGCCTTGAACTCTCAGTGATCCTCCTGCCTCAGCCTCCTGAATGCTGGCATTGCAGCCTGTGCCACTGCACCTGGCTGATTTTCTCCATTTTTTTCTGGGTAGGAATCCAGGCTCAGAGTGGTGTGTTCACATATGGTAAATCACACAGCTAAGCCAGAGCCAGGATTTGGTTCTCAGGTTCGGCCCACTCCATGACGTGAACATTTATCCTTCTGCCTCCTGGATGCTAATATTGGGAGAGGGCGGGGGGACTGACTCCCCACCCGGGTTCTTGAACCCTGAGTGGCAGGTGTATGTGCCTAGGACCCTTGTGATACCGAAGTCTGGGACGCCTTGCCAAAGAGGACCCCAGGTCCTCCCACCTCTGCAGTCCCATCTCTTTGAGACCAAGGATCCTATGCCAGCCTGGTCCACGGCCCTCAGAGATTTCGGGGCCCAGCAGAGAGAGACCTCAGCACTTTTGCTGCAGCTGCGTGGCTCTGCCCCTGCCCCGCTCCCTCCCTCATCTATTTATTACTCTGCACTTCCCCGCCTGGCCCGCTGCTGTGTCAATACTGATAAAAGCAAATCGCCCCACAAACAGGTGCAGCTGGGAGCTGCCCCTTGGACAGCTGTCAGGAAAGGCCATGGGGGGCAGGCAGGTGACCCGGCCCTGCCTAGGCCCTTTGGGTTGCCGCTCAGGGCCTGCGCAGGGGCAGCTGGTGTTGTGTGCCCACGCCCTGGCATCTGAGCTGGCATCAAGACTCTGGCTGGGGCGGAGAGGGGGCAGGCTGGGCGAGAGGGCAGCCCAGGAACCCGCTATTTATTTTCTCTTTCAGTTTCTTCCAACAATTCAGTTAATACTCTGTCAACCCCCCACCCCCCAGTGTTTAAAATATTTCCTGAAGTTGGGTGTGGCAGCGCGTGCCTGCAATCCCAGAACAGAAGGCTGAGGCAGGAGGATCCCCAGGGTTCACAGCCAGCCTGGGCTACATAGCAAGGCCCTGTCTCAGAAAAACAAAAAAGAAATATTTCCTGCAACTATCAGGGACTGATATTTTTAGAGAAGAAATCATTTTTTCCAGGCTCTACCCATGTCCAAATCCGTGCACTTGCGTGGCAGTGTCCATTTTCTGAGTACCTTCTAGGGCTTGGTGTGGGCTCTTTTTGTTTTTGTTTTTGTTTTGTTTTTACCTAAGTAAACATTTCATGATTCAGCCCTCTTAGTTATCCAGGACGCATGTTGATGCTACCAAGCCTTGCAGCACTGACTCCGGCCGCAAAGGATCCGACCTTGAACCCCCTCCTCCGTGCAGGGTTTTGTCCCCAGGGCTTCATCCTCCCAGAAATACCAGGCTCCGCAGCCCGCATGGAACTGGGACAGGCGGCAGCGACCGAGGGCTGGTGCCTGGGCCTGGGCCTGGGCCTGGGTGCCCACCCACCCTGCACTTAGTATTACAGGGAGTAGGTTGCTATGCAAATAAATGTCTTGGGAGCCCTGGGGCCCCCCCTTCCCCAGGGGCCCTCTGGTTGCCAAAACAGACCATTCCCAGAGCAGTCGCCTAGAAACAGCGCTGTCATAGCAGCCTGAGGTGGCAGAGCCAGCGTGGTGCCAGGAGGAGCCGGGTCGGGGTGTTAGGACCTCAGCCAGCCCCCCCCCCCGTCACCACCTGGGAAAGGGCATGGTGGCTCAGCCAGGGTGGGCAGGGACACTAACTGGACTGGGGGCCAAGAGGGAGGAGCCTGCCTGGGCTCACTGGCTCTGCCCACCCCTGGCCACACAGAGCAGCTCCTTGGAGAGGAGCCTGCAGGCACCGGCCAGGAAGGCTCCCAAAGCTGCAGGTCCCTCCTGGTGCCCGGGGGGCTGGGAAGGGTGCAAGGGGCCACCCTCAGAGTCCACTCTGTGGGTGCCCTCCTAAAGCCCAGGCATCAGCTCGGCCTGGTGGACCTGACCTTCCCCAAGTAGAGGAAGCACTGCCTGTCCCTGTTTCATTTGGGACGGAGAGCTGCTTCAGCACGGAAGTATCTGCCTAATCCCAGCACTCAGGAGGCTGAGGCAGGAGGATCGCTGCAAGTTCAAGGCCAGGCTGTACTACATAGTGAGACCCTCTCTCAAAAAACAAACATTGAGAAAAAAACCATTGCCTCCCTTTCTCTCTCTCTCTCTCTCCTTCCTCCCTTCCTTCCCTTCTTCCTTTCTTTCTGGATGTGGACTTACTATGTCATCCAGACTACTCGTACTCCCAGGTCCAGGTGATCCTCCTGCCTCACAGCCTTCTGAGGGATGGGGTGACAGGTGTGTACCACCTCGCCTGGTTGACAGCATGAAGTTCTCAAAGGCAGGACTCACATTTCAATTCTGGGACGGACGGCCCACCCGGACCCCAAAGAGCCTGATGGATTTTGACACCCGCTCAAAGTGAGGAGCCCGTGACCTTTGTCAACACGACCACCCCAGGCTTCTAGCATGATGCGTGGAGTGACTGTTCCTTTGGACCCGAGAGGAAGAAAACTCATCGTTGGTCCTGGGACAGGGAGGGAGGGGGCCAAGTGGCAGAAGGGACGGAGCATCTGCTGGGGACCCTGAGGCTGTGGGAGAGGTGTGAGGTGAGCATGTGCTGTGCCTGTGATGTGTGCTAGGTAAGGGCAGTCCTTTGGTGTGGGGAGGGGCCCCCTCCTCCCTAAGCAGCCCTGGAGGTCAGGAACTCAAACAGCCAGTGTGCACGTCCTCCGCTTCCCTCTCCCTTTCCTGCCTTTTCTCTCTCTCTTTTTGTTTCTGTTTTTGAGACAGGGTCTCACTCTGTAGCCAGGCTGGTCTCCAACTCACAGCGATTCTCCTGCCTCAGCCTCCAAGTGCTGGGATCACAGGTGTGCGCCACCACGCCTGGCTTCTATTTCCCCTTTGGAACAGGCTCCGGCTCCTGTCCCGCTCTGACCCCAGCTGTTCAGATGCCCCTGGGGATCTGGACTCCAGCTTTCCCTCAAACAAACAAACAAATAAACAAATGCAAACACAGACACGGCCTGTGGCCCCCCAGCTGTCCTCAGCCCTGCCCGCCCCCAGCCATGCAGCCTTGGCTGCTCTTTGATCTCCTAGGCTGGCTGAGAAGCCGGAAGTTGGTGTCCCCTCCTCTGGGCATGAGGGTCAGGACGGTCTGGGGCAAGAGGCTCTATATGCCCTCCAAATGTCGCTGTCTTTGGGATGAGCCGCATCTGGGCCGTGACCCAGTGCCTTTTGTCCCCGAGAACTGTCCCAGGTTAGCAAATCCCAGCTACCGGCTCCAGGCACTCACAGGCCGAAGATTCCACAGGGAGGAGGCGAGGGGCTCCGTTGCCTGAGGGGCTGTGCAGGGCCGCAGTGGCCCTTCCCTCCGACCCAGGGCGTCATGGGACGCAGGCAGTGTCAGCGCTGCTGGGGGCTCCAGCCTCCTGTTCGGGGAAGAGGAGCCCAGCTCACGAGGTTAAAGGGCTTCAAATCCTGGCCAGTGTCCTCGTGCCCAGATGGACATCACCACTTTGGGCCGACACCTTCCTCAGTTCAGGGGTGGCGTCTTCCCACCCTGCCACCTCTGGGACTGAATACAGGGCTGGGTGTGAGAAGGCCCCGCTGCAGCCCTGCCTGGGGGCGCACACCTGTGCTCAGTCCCAGCACTTGGAGGCTGAGACAGGAGGATCGCCCCTAGTTCAAGGCCAGTCTGGGGTATACAGCAAGACTCTGTCTCAAAGAAACAAAGCAAAACACTGCAAAGTGACTTGTGCCAGGACTTGGCAAACAGAAGGCGCTTGACAAATGGCAACACGTGGCCGCGGTGTGGACAGGCAGGGTGGCCCGGGCTCAGAGCGTGGCCCCTGGCCCTGAAGGGCCCCGACGTCAGCTGTCGCCATGACCCATGCTGATTGTGGCCGATCCCGAAGCTCTTATGGGAACCACAGGGGTCTGCTGGGTCCAGGGCCGGCATGGCTGAGCTCCCTACAGCTGCTGGCGGGGCGGTGGACTGGCCGGAAGTGGAGCCAGGATCCTTGTCCTCATTTTTAAGAGCGGGAAAGGTCTTCTCGGGGCTCCACTGGGCCTCTGGGTCAGCAGCAAGGGGTAAGCAGCAGGTGCTTTGACTCGCCCCCCACCCCTGGGGCTGTGGGCCGGGTTATTATTGTTCTGTTTAGAGACGGATGTCACTATGTAGCACAGGCAGGCCTCGAACTCACAGCAATCCTCCTGCCTCTGCCTCCAGAGCACTGGGACGACAGGCCCGTGGCAGCCCTGGGTTGGTAAAGTTAAAGTCTCAGGTACCCGGCTCCCTGGCATGAAGCAGGGGTTTCCCCATGGCCCCAGGAACTGTTTACCTTCTACCCCTTCTGCCACTTCCTGCCCTTGGATTAGGCAGGAGACCTGGCTATTTGACCTTGAACCCTAACCTCCTCCTCACTCTGGGTTTTGCTTTCTTTTTTTTTTTTTTGGTACCAGGGATTGAACTCGGGACCTTGTGCTTGCGAGGCAGGCACTGGAACCACTAAGCTAAATCCCTGGCCCTGGGTTTTGCTTTCCTGACTTATTAAAAAAGAAGAAAGAGGGCTGGGGATTTAGCTCAGTGGTTTTGCTGCCTGCTGCACAAGCGCAAGGACCCGAGTTCGATCCCCAGTACCAAAAAAAAAAAGAAAAGAAATGGGAAAGGTGCTCTTGGCCGTCAAGTCTGGCCGCACTTGTGCAGTGCACGACACTGTGTTCCGCACCAGTCTCTTGGTGCCTTGTCCCTTGCACCTGGAGCCTCGGCCGGTGGTCCTGACTCCTCCTTCTGGGTCAGGGCAGCGTCCCCAGACCCGAAGATACAGAGGCCCTGTGTCCCTCCAGGACGCCTGCGAAGCTGCAGACCCTCCTGACTGAGTGGCCCAGGCAGGGCCAGAGACTGGAAGCTGCCTGGCTGCTGAGTCCCAACCTGGGCTGCCCCTCAGAGAAACCTGGTGCAGATGCTGCAGACCGAGGAGGAGGGCGGTGTGCCTGGGGGAACCGGCACAGAGCCAGGGCTCACGGCCTAAGCCGAGCCAGGCAGGCGCTGACAGCGCCTTTCCAAATGGTCTTTAGTTCTCTTTTAATTTCTTACACTTTCATTTTACACAGTTGAAATCCTAAAGGAAGAGCATCTGTTAGACTCAAGCGGGCATGCTGGGTCTTGGCTGTAACCTCAGCACTCGGGAGGCTGAGGCAGGAGGATTGCCATGAGTTCGAGGCCAGCCTGAACTACACACCGAGACCCTGTCTCAAAAAAATTTTGTTTTGTTTTAAAATGCTACAGTCTCTTTCCCACACCCATCTCCCAGCCACTTCCCCTCTCAACAGGAACCTGAGTTAGTTTCCCATGAGACCTGGGGATGGGAAACTGCAAATAAGGGCACTGGTTTTTATCAGACTCCTTTTTGAAAATTCAGATGGTAGCCCACCACCCAGCAACTGGAGGACCTGGTGTTTTTTCAACTAATATACTTTATCAATACATAAAGAACATCCTAGATTATATTTCAGCTGAGAATTATTCCATTCTAAGGATAGATCTTAATTCATTCACATTGGCAGGCCTTCTATTCATGGACTTTTATTGTTTTTTGTTTTGTTGTTGTTGTTGTTTTTTGGTACTGGAGATCGAACTCGGGTCCTTGGCTTGCGAGGCAGGCAGCGGAACCACTGAGCTAAATCCCTGGCCCTTGTTTTGTGTTTTTGAGATGGGGTCTCACTGTGTAGTCCAGACTGGCCTCGAACTCACTATGTAGCCCAGGCTGGCCTTGAACTCATGGAGATCCTCCAGCCTCAGCCTCCTGAATGCTGGGATGACAGGCATGCACCACCACACCCGGCTCCTCAAGTATTTTGAAATTGTCATTCTGAGGTGCCAGCCCTTGTTCTATGTTTGGTTTGCAAACCTACACACCTCTACTGGAATTGCTAACACAAACACCAAAATAGGCAAGGTTCAAACGTGCCCCAGGCCCTGGAGTTTGCCTCAGATCCTTGGTTGGGGGGTGGAGTTTAAAGTCCCACACATGCTGGGTGTGGTGGTGCATGCATGTGACCTCAGAATTTGGGAGGCTGAAGCAGGACTGCTGTGAGTTCAAGACCAGCCTGAACTACATAGCGAGACCCTGTCTCAAAACAAAGGAAGGGAATTTCTGACAATGCGACAAGGTGGATGAACCTGGAAGACGCGTGTCCAGGTGAAATCAGCCAGATGCAGAAGAACAAATCTCGTCGGCTTCCGCTCACACGCCGCATCCGTCAGCAGGGGCACAGAAACAGGAAGTGGAATGCAGTTGCCGGGGTGAGGAGAGTCGTGTTCCGTGGGCGCAGTTTCAGTGTGGGAAATGGAAAACGTTCTACAAGGCAATGTTAAGGTCATGGAATGGAAACCTAAAAATGGTTAAAAGAGGGTTTGGTTTTTTTCCGGTACTGGGCACTGGACCCAGGGCCTTCACATGGAGCTACATCCCCAGCCCTTATTTGTTCACTTGACCATTTATGAGGCAGGGTCTCTCTAAGTCACTGAGTTTCCCGGGGTTGTGCCTGAACTGGGAATTCTTCTGCCTCAGCCTCCCAGAGTACTGGGATTACAGATATGTGCCACCACACCCTGCTTAGCTACAGGTATTTTTTTCCTCTAATTTTTTTGCTTTGTTTTTTTGAGACAGAATCTTGCCATGTAGTCCAGGTTGGCCTTGAACTTGCAACGATCCTCCCTCCTCAGACTTTTGGGGTTGATTTTTGGTACCAGGGATTGAACTCAGGACCTTGCGCTTGCGAGGCAGGCATGGTGCCACTGAGCTAAATCCCCAGCCCTCTCCTCAGCCTTTTAAAGGCTGGGATTACAGGTGTGCGCCACTGAGCCCGGCAGCTGTAGGTATTTTAACGTAATAATTTAAAAAATGAAACCGTCCGCTCTGCCGCGCACATCAGGCCCTTACCAACTGCCCGGAGGAGGCCCGTCTCCACCCTGACCACGCCTCCCAGGATCCGAGGCAGCTGAGGACCGCCCAAGGCCAGCAGCCCGGTGCCCCGCGGCTGGGCCAGAAAGGCGGGCACGTGGGCTGGGCCAGGCTGGTCAGGAACGGACAGAGGCCAGGGCTCCGAGCTGGGCTCCGAGCTGGGCTCCAAGCTGAGCTCCGGACTGGTCGGGAGAAGAGGGGGAGGCAGCAGCGGAGGGCGTGGGCGAGGTCAAAGGTTAAGGCCACGTGCAGCACAGTCAGAGCCTGCGCCCCTGATAGGGCCGGAAGGGGCCCCTTTCCTATGGGCGGGGCCTGGTTATCTACCTGTTTGATGAAGGAGTCCGGGTGCCCTTCTGCCCTGCGATACAAATTCCAAAGTCCTGCCGATCAACTGCAATTGAAGGCACTGTGGGATGGGTGCAAATTCCGCCTGGCGGCTCCCTGGGCCCAGCCTGGATTGTGTCACCCACTAGCTGGCGCCTTCCGAGCCGCAGGGCAGAGAGGGTGGGTGCAGCCTGCCAGGTCTTCCTGGTGCCTCAGAGAAGAAATGCTCTGAGGTGGATTCTTTTTGGTTTTGGTTTTTTGTTTGTTGTGTGTGTGGGAGGGGGTTAAGACAGGGTCTCATTATGTAGCCCAGGCTGGCCTCAAACTCCTGGCAATCCTCCTGCCTCAGCCTCCTGAGTGCTGGAATGACAGGTGTGCACCACCACACCTGGGCGAGATGGATTCTTTTGGGGGGCAAATCAGACTTTTAAAAAAATGTTTGCAAACAGGCAGTTCTAGGAAACAAAGGCAAGGCAGGGGGCGTCACAATCCCTGGCTTGAAATTATACTATAAAACTACTGTGATGAGGGCCGGGGATTTAACTCAGTGGCGCTGCGCCTGCCTTGGAAGCGCAAGGTCCTGAATTCGATCCCTGGTACAAAAAAAAAGCTACTGTGATAAAAAACACCATGGTACTGGCAAAAAAAAAACAGACGAGCTGGGCGTGGTGGCTCACTCCTGTAATTCTAGCACTCGGGAGGTTGAGGCAGGAGGATTGCCACAAGTTTGAGGCCAGCCTGGGCTACATAGTGAGTTCAAGGTCAGCCTGAACTACAAAAGGAGAGCCTGCCTCAAAAAAAAAAAAAAAGCCAGACTGGAGGATCAATGGAACAGACTAGAAGATGCAGAAACAGCTCCAGACATACTCAGTCACCTTATTTTTGACAAAGGAGCCAAACACCCTCACTGGAAGAAAGATAGCCTCTTTAATAAATGGTGCTGGGAAAACTGGCTTTCCATATGCCAAAAGATTGAAACTAGACCCTTGTCTCTCACCATGCACTAAACTGAAATCAAAATGGATCAAAGATCTAAATATTAAAACAGAAACACTAAATCTGCTGGAAGATATAATAGGTGGAACTCTCAAAGACATTAGTGTAGGCAAAGACTTTATGAACAAAACCTCAGTCTCGGGCCAGGATTTAGCTCAGTGGCGCCATGCCTGCCTGGAAAGCACAAGGTCCTGAGTTCAATCCCCAGTACCAAAAAACCCCCAAGAAAACAAAGTCAAAAACAAAAAAAACCCATAAATCCTCAGTTACACAGGAACTGGTACAAAGAATCAACAACTGGGATCTCATCTTATTAAAAAGCTTTTGCACTGCAAGAGAAACCACCAACAGAGTGAAGAGACAACCTACAGAGTAGGAAGAAATTTTTGCCAGCTATTCCTCAGACAAAGGACTACTATCTAGAATATATAGAGAACTAAAAAAAAAAAAAAATTTAAAGACCCAACCCAAAAATGGGCATCTGAAATGAATAAGCACTTCTCAGATGAAGAAGTAGAAACGGCAAATAAATATATGAAAAAATGTTCAACATCACTGGTCACTCGAGAAATGCAAATGAAAACAACACTGAGATTCCACCTCACCACAGAAAGAATGACTGTTATCAGGAAATCAACAACAAATGCTGGTGGGGCTGTAGGGAGAAAGGAACCCTTCTCCACTGTTGGTGAGAGTGCAGACTGGTGCAACCGCTGTGTAAGATTCCTTGAAAAACTAGGATTAGAGTTTCCACTTGACCCAGCTATTCTCCTTCTTGGTCACTCCCTGAAAGAATTGAAAGTATCATACCACAGCAATATATGCACACCCATGTTTATAGTGGCACAGTTTGTAATAGCTAAATCTTGGAAAGAGCCCAAATACCCATCAACTGACGCATGGATAAAGAAGATGTGGGTTTTTTATACAGTGGAGTGCTACTCAGCCATAAAGAAGGATGAGCTTGAGATATTTTTAGCTAAATGGATGCACCTTGAGATCATACTCCTAAGTGAAATAAATTGGACACACGTGAGTAAAGATTGCATTGTTTCTCTGGTGTGAGAAACTGAAAGTATAAATGAGGACCAAAATGTATAATAGATATTGGGAAATAGGAAGAAAATGTTCAAATGGGAAGGGGAACAAGGGAGAGTGCCGGGGGGAAGGGAAAGAAAGGATGGGGTGGGAGGGAAGGAGAAAAGAAGGAAAAAAGGAAACAAAGCTTTTTTAAACAAGGAGGGGAAGAAAGGTTGAAGAAGGGAGGAAATGGGAATGGGAAAAAAAGATTGAAGATGTGTCATGTGCAGGTACAAATTCCCTACGATGAATGTGGTTGTTATCTATACCTAAAATGTGCCAGTAAACTTAATTAAAAAATAAAAATAAATTCTTGCTGAATTTGATTGTTAAGCTCATTTCTGGAGAGTAAAGAAAAGGCAGACTTACATTAGGACGGTTTTCATGGAAGACATTGGAAGATATCACAGGGTGGTGGAATCCCTGCCGTGCGGGGCAGCTTCCTATTACTTCATTTGAGATAATATATTTTCACAAATTTTACTTACTTTTATTTTCAGATAGGACAGATTTACAGCAAAGTGTGTACATCGTTACAGTACAGCTTGGTGAATTTTTACCTATGTCAAAACCCCTGTGATGTCCATCCCATGGCATTTAGGGGACATTTCCACCATCCCCCACTCATGGGTCATTGTTATTCTGACTTTACCAGAATGGAATAGTTTTACTTGTCCTTTTTTTTTTTTTTTAATTTTATTGTACGGGGGATTGAACCCAGGCTCTTCTCACTGAGCTCCATCCCCCGTCCTTTTTATTTTTTATTTTGAGACAGGGTCTTGCTAAGTCACTAAATTGCCCAGACTGAGCTTGAATTTGAGGTCCTCCTGCCTCAGCCTCCCGGGTGCTGGGATCACAGGTGTGTGCCACCACACCAGCTAGTTGTGCCCGTTCTTGAGCTTCATGAAAATGTGACCATACTATGCATATGCATGTGCGTGGCTCCTTTCACATACGCCAGTGAGCTCTTCTAGGAGAAATTTCCGAACTCTAGACTTGCAGTCTTTTACCTGAACCCCGTGGGGCAGACAGGCCTCAGAACCAGCATTTCCAGGGCTCTTGAAAGGGCCACCTTGAGTCCCTTGTGTACTCTGAAACATCCAGGCAGGACCTGGGGCGGCGCTGAGTAAATAGGTAAATAATTCCGAGCAGTCTCCACAGATTCCCGCGCCGCATGTGTAGACCACGGCTGTAAGCAGTCTCCTGTCATGAGGTCTGCTTTTATGCCTAATTAGTTTGCATGCTGCCAAATGCACGCTGATAGTACTCAATTATCTAGCTATGGATTTCAGAGGTTTGGAGATTTGTTTTGTTTTGTTTTTTGGAAACAGGGTCTTGCTATGTGGCCTACACTGGCGCCAAACTCACAGTGATCCTCCTGCTTCAGGCTCCTGAGTCATGGGATCACAGGCATGTACCACTATGCCCAGCTAGGTTTGGGGATTTGGAAATTGAGAACCAGGATTGGAGACCTGTTCCTTGCTGTAGAAACTTTGGCTCTGGGACTTGACATCCCAGGCTATACCCAGCAGATGGCAGAGATGGCCTGTGGCAGGGTCTGAGTGTGAACGCCCAGCACAGGGGCACAACGTTTTTGTATGTGCATTGGGGATTTTCCTGGGATCTCTGCTTTGTTCTTTTCTGTTTTTATTTTTCCACTGAGGCATTTTATTTCTATATGTTTTACACTCCTAGAAAAAGAACCCCAGAGCCGGGCGTGGTAGTGCACACCTGTAATCCCAGCACTTGGGAGGCTGAGGCAGGAGGGTCATGGTGAGTTCAAGGCCAGCCTGAACTGCAAAGCAAGACCCTGGGTCCAAGAAGAAAAACAAAAATGAAAACAAAAACAGAAAAGAAAAGAAAAAGAATCCCAGGATTCCCCACACACTGGGTGTTTTTGTCCTGCTTCTTCGTGGCCCATGATGCCAGCTGAGGTTGTCAATACAATGAAAACAAACTGGCAGGATGGGAGCAGATTATCTCGCTGTGTTTCAGCTGCACATCCAACCCTTGGCTGCTCACACTCCACACTTGGTTAACCTGCCCTCGAGGTTCACACTTGATTAACCTGTGGGGCCCTGTGATCATCACTGACTTCAAACTCGCCAGTGTCACCTGCTTTGTCACCACAGCTGGAGACCAGACCGTGGCCCCATGGCCTGACCACCTCTGCCTCTCTCCCCGCCGTTGGTTGACAGCCAGGACACCCCCGCACAGATGCACCACTGTGGCTCAGCTGCTACAGGGAGGTTGGGCCCAGGGGCTCTCAAAGCCAGGCCAGGCACAGGAGGATTGCGATGTCCTCACAGGGACCTAAGCCCAGCCTCAGGCTGGGGGGCGGCGCTGAGAGCCGATGGGTGAAGTCCTCGGAAATTCTGGGTTCCTCACTGGCTTGGGGTCCCTACTTTGGCTTAAGTTTTTTTTCCCCATTTTTTGATTGATTGACTGATCGATTGGAAGGCCTCACTACGTGGCCCAGGTTGGTTTTGAAGTCACGGTGATCCTCCTGCCTCTGCCTCCCCAGTACTTGGATGACAGCACTATGATGGGAAGATCTTTCAAAATCATCGTGCTTCACATGTGAGGCCGAGAGACCCGGCTAGAAGCGACAGGGAGTAATGGGGACTGGTCAATGAAGGAAGCAGGTGAGGAAGTGGAAAGGTGCGGCAGGAGAAAGCACGCAGAACCCTGAGGGGGCCGTGGGAGGCCCCGTGCAGCTGCACCTGACCGAGGGAGGCCCCTGGCCCTGCGTGGTTGGTGGCTGAGTGCCCTGGTGGTTTCTCCCTCTCTTCCCCAGTCTCACAGAGAACAAGAAGCGGCCTCGAGTTAGTTGCCCAGCACCCATGGATGCCAGAGCTTCAGGGCTCCTCCTCCTCTCAGTCAAAATTCCCTGTGCCCACGATGCCATTTGAAGGAAGGAAGGTTGGGTTTTTATTTTTTTGTTATTTAAGACAGAGTCTCCCTATGTAGTCCAGCCTGATCTTGAACCACTGTGTAAACCAAGCCGGCCTGGAACTTGTGACCCTCCTGCCTCAGCCTTCTGAGTGCTGGGATTGCAGGTACTGGGATCGAACTCAGGA